AAGTGAGCTCAAGAGGAGAAGAAAGGATTGTAAAATGGAGGCAATAGACGTGAAAATCAGAAACTCAATTTGAGCTCCTGTCTTATTAGATGATCGAGAAAGTTAAAGAACTCCTATAGCTATTGTTTTTGATATTTTATCTCGAGTTCTCGATCGCAGGTCACTTTTATGCTTCCTTCCTGCTTCTTTGTCGAAGATGTGTGAGAGATAGTTGACGCAACTACATGAAATTTAACTTTCTTGTCTTCCGTTCGTGAAATGAAGAAATATTCTAGTAAATGAATAACGCCTCATTTGTATTTCATTATTTGTGAATAACTTTGGTGGAACAAAAAATTACGAAAAAATTGCCTAATAAGCATATTACTTGTTGGAACTCCCAGGTTTCGATGATAGTAAAAAAAGTAGTTGAGCAATATTGAGTAATACACATCTTCATTGAGAATGCAAATGAATGCGTTGGAGCGGGAGGTTTAGTCGTTGGAATCCATAAGCCCGTTACGTGCCAGTTATTATTGAACGAACAATTGCCACGGCTTGTGGTTTTCCTTCTCCTACAAGCAATCATACATTTTTCGAACGTTTTCAGGTATGGTTTTTGCGAGGAATCATAGCAAAGTTTTGGATGCTACATTGGTGAGTCTGTCAATAGATAGTTTATAATCCAGTTGCTCTGCATTTTGTGCTTTGTGTCCATTTACGTACCTTGAAGGAAGAAGATGAACGTGAAAATCACAGAAATAGCAAGGGAATGTCGTGGCCTATGGCCGCCATCTTTATCGTTGGCGATATGATGGGTGGAGGAATGATTGCATTACCTATTGCTTTAGTAAATGCAGGTAGCCTATCAAGAAATAGTTGCTACTCATATGTTCTTTGACCAAGATCGCGAGCTTACAAATTCTGAATCATTCTGGGTATATTTGCCGTATGTTTTTGACGGTAATGCGGCTGTTGTCATGTTTAAACTAGTGGCAATTTATTTTGTGTTTATGACGGGTTGCACTGCAAATTTGAGGTCTTCTACCTGGAATTTTAACAATCATTTTGGCTGCGATATTTACTGGATATACAGGAGTTCAGCTTGGTGATAATTGGACAATGATGCAGGTGGGAACAAAGGCTGTTGCTAGTATAGTGCTTACTCATTAGAATTTAAGAAACGATGGCCGGAGTACAAGAGTTATTGTCGAAGACCGTATCCCGAGATGGCCTATCGTGCAATGGGTAC